GGAAGGCCAGAGAAGAAGAGGAACAAGAAAGCCAGCTCTATGCCTCTGAAAAGAGACTGTCTCTTCCCGAATTCTGTCCTCACAGCCACCCTGGCATCAAGAGCAGAAGTACAGAAGTGCTTCATCAGCACTTGAAGGCAGCAGGAAGGATGCAGAGGTCACACAGAGCCCAGCCAGCATGCAGCAGAGGGGCACAGACTGCCAAGGACAGCCTGTGAGCCCGAGGTTGAGCTTTGTGCACTCTGAGCACTCAACCAATTCCGGGCATCCCCCCTCTCTGAGATGCCGTCTGCTGGGAGAGGCAAAGCTTCTGCCCTCACCTCATTGCTGCTCTGCAGTAATGCTGGGTCATGATCCTTCTCCCGGAGCAAACAGCTCAGCATTGTTGTCACTAGTGCTTTGCAGAGCCAGTCACCGCCTTGTTTTCTGAGGTTTCCACCAGGGAGGGGCACAGAAATTAGAACAAGGGGCTGCGTGGGGTGATGGACAGCATAGAATCATACAATCGTAGGCTCACAGATTTATTTCGGCTGAAAAAGACCCTAAGATCAAGCGCAACCTGCACAACACGGGCAGTGGGGTCGGTGTTTCTTGTAGAGAGGTTTGAGATCACTGAATGACAGGCTGTGCAGAAGCATGTTAGCAATTAGTCAGTGATTATCTAAGATGAGGATAAAATGGTACTCCCTGGGGGGTTGGGTAGAAGTGTCTCCTTCCATTGAGGGTGTTTATTCAGTTTAAAGGAAAGTTTGGATGGATCTCAGGAAAGAATGGGAAATCCTCAGCACACATTTAGTGCTGTACAACCAGAGCTCTGCCTCTTTAAACTACATCTTGCCAGCAGATTATTAAATCCTTTAATCTCTGAGCAACGACGCCAATCTGGTTGCCTTACAGACGTTGCTCACACCACATCTGTTGAAACCCCAACCCAAGATAAAAGCCCAGAGCCTCCCACATGACTGTCAGCAGCCCCTCCTCCCCTGTCCCTGCTCCCCTGGGGTGGCATCAGAGATGAGAAGGGAACAGGCGATTAGGGAGAGATGGGAAGGGAACAGCCCCGAGCCCCGTGTCCTGGTGGTTGTCCAGCCATGGGATCATAGAATCATAGAATCATTCAGGTTGGAAAAGACCTCTCAGATCCCAAGTCCAACCCCTACCCAGCCCACCGTGCCCACTGCCCACGTCCCTCAGTGCCACATCCCCACGTTCCTTGAACACCTCCAGGGATGCTGACCCCACCACCTCCCTGGGCAGCTGTGCCACTGAATCACTGCTCTTTCGGAGAAGAAATGTTTCCCAATATCTAAAGTGATTCATCCCATGTAGAGCTGCTGTGTTACCACTGATGGCTTCTCTTCCGAGGACATCCCAAGGCTTTTATGAAGGAGCTGTGCATGGCAGGATCTCCTCCCTCTCTCCCCTCCACCAGGAGATGCACCCATTGTTCATCCCGCTGCTGTCAGCATCTGGGGGTCATTCTCAAAATGGGAAGTTTCCTTTAATTATACATCTAAAGGCTGGAAGTGATTGGAGCTCGGCGTTCCAAGTTGGCTCCCTTACTGAAGCCAAGTCTAATAATAGAAGAGTCAGCTGCCAGCAAAATGATCCATCCCAAATCCAGTCTTAGTTTAAGCTGTACTTGCCCCCCTAGCCCCCTGCTTGTGATATGGGGTAAATCCATCCAAGGGATTCCCCTTTTGCCCCTGTGTTGTGCTGTGGGAGCTCTGCTCTCAGTTCCCAACCTGAGCCCAGCCATGCAAATCCATGGGAAAAGTCACCCAAAAAGCCCCCTCTGATCTCAGCCTGAAGGGTTCATCCATAGCCAAGGCCATGGCCCATCACACCCAACCACCCAGCTGAATCCTGGGGAAGGTGTAGCATCTCAGGATCATCCTTGGGGTCCTAGAGTTGATCACAGGATCCCAGAGATGACCGTCGTGGCTCACATGTCACAGTGGTGTCCTCGGGATGGCAGAGGTGTCTCGGGGCTGACTGTGGTACCCAACATCAATCAGTTTTCCAAGGGCTGGGTATGGTCCCCAAGGATGTTTCTGCTGCCCCAACAGCAGCCGTGACCCAGGGATGGCCGTGATGTCCCAGGATGGCCATGGGGAGATGCCACCATCACCATGTCCCCCCGGTGACATTTTTGCTCTCAGGGTGGCCCTGTGCCCACAGTGAGACCCGGCTGTGTTGGGACAGCCCTAGGGCCAGGACACCGATCCCGGCCACGAGCAATGCGTCCTGGTCCCCTGCTGACACCTGCGGGTGAGCAGGCGTCCCTGCATGTCACCGTGTCCCACAGTGTCACCATGCCCCTGCATGTCACCATGTCCCTCAATGGCACCCTGCCTCTGCATGTCACCGTGTCCCTTCATGTCACCGTGTCCCTTCATGTCACCGTGTCCCTTCACGTCACCGTGTCCCTTCATGTCATGTCACTTTGCCCCTACATGACACTTTGTCACTACAGACCCCCCCATCTGAACATGTCATCCCATCCCTGCTCATCTCCTCCCTACGTCACATCTCTCGGCATGTCACCCTGTCCCTCTGTGTCACTTTGTCCTTACATCATGCCCCTCCTACATCTGGGACCCCGACCACATCAGGACCCCCCAGCACTGCTGTGCCTGGGCACAAGGACCCCGAATCTCCCCTGAATCCCTCCATCATCCCCTCCATCCCTCCTCCACCTCCCTCCTCCACATCCCCCCACTCTCCCTCCATCCCCTCTTCCCCACTGGGGCCGTGCCCTCAGGGACGGAGACAAGTACTGGGATTACACCAGGCAGGTCTGCCTTTGGGAGCCAATACCCTCATTAATTAATTAAGGGATAATCTCTGCTTCCAGGGAACAGGCGGCTGCCGAGTCTTGATTAGTCACAAGAATGTTTAATCCCCACCCCAAGCTGCTGGCTGCCTCTTCCAGAGGTGCCAGGGATGATTCCTGAATATACAGGGCAGGGGGGTGAAGGCAGCTTACATCCCACATCCCAAACGTCTCATCCCACATAAGGTACCCTGCATCCCCTATTCCCGTCCTGCACGGTGCCCGGTATCCTGCATGCCACAAGCTGCATCCCATATCCCAAATCCTGTATCCTGCACCCTACATCCCAGTCCTGCATCCCAATCCTGCATCCTCTGTCGCATCCCACATCCCACAGCTTGCATCCCATGCCTGCATCCCACGTCCCGTGCCTGCATCCCATACCCTGCATCCCATTCCTACATCCCATTCCTCCACCCTGCATCCTGCATCCCACAGGCTGCATCCCACATCTTGCATCCCATATCCTGCCTTCCAGTCTGTATCCCAATCCTGCAGCCTGTATTCCATACCCTGCATCCCATTCTTGCACCCTGCATCCTGCAGGCCATACTCTTCATCCTCTATCCTGTTTTTAAATCCCAACTCTGCATCTCACATCTGTATATGGCATCAAGTCTTGTATCCTGCATCCCACAAACTGCATCCTTTACCTTGCATCCCATATCCCAAATCTCACATCTTGCAACCCGCATCCCAATCCTGCATCCTATTCCTGCACCATATTCTGTATCCTGCATCCCATTCCTGCATCCCAGATTCTGAATCCCACATCCCAGTCCTGCATCTCACATCCCAGTCCTCCTTCATGTTCTGTATCCTGCATCCAGCAGCCTACATCCCATACCCTGCATCCCACACCCCATTCCTGCATCCCAATCCTGCATCATGTTCAACATCCCACATTCCATTCCCACATCCCTTTCTCACATCATGTTCATCATTCTGTATCCTATTCCCACATCCCATTCCCTCATCCCAATCCTAGATTGTGTTCAGTATCCCACATCCCATTCCCTCATCCTATTCCCACATCCTATTCCCACATCCCATTCCTGTATCCCATTCCCACATCATGTTCAGCATCCAGCATCTCATTCCCTCATCCCATTCCTCCATCCCAATCTCACATCATGCTCAGCATCCCACATTCCATTCTCTTTCCATTCCCTCATCCTATTCCTGCATACTATTCCTGCATCCCATTCCTGCATCCCAATCCTGCATCATGTTCAGCATCCTGCATCCCATTCCTGCATCCCAATCCTGTATGATTTTCAGCATCCTGCACTTCATTACCTTGTCCCATTCCTGCATCCCATTCCCACATCATGCTCAGCATCCCGCATCCCATTCCCTTATCCCATTCCTCCATCCCAATCCCACATCATGTTCAGCATCTCGCACCCCATTCCCGCATCTCATTCCTGTACCCCATTCTCACATCCCATTCCTTCCATCCCATCCCATTTCTTGCCAGCCCATTCCAACATCATGCTCAGCATCCCACATCCCATTCCTTCATCCCATTCCTCCATCCCAATCCCACATCACGCTCAGCATCTCGCACCCCATTCCCGCATCTCATTCCTGTACCCTATTCCCACATCCCATTCCTGCAGCCCATTCCCACATCATGCTCAGCATCCCGCATCCCCTTCCTACATCGCATCGCATCCCATTCCTGCATCCCAATCCCGCATCACGTTCAGCATCCCGCACGCCATTCCCACGTGCCATTCCCTCACCCCCCCCCCCCCCCCGCACAGAACTACAGCTCCCGACGTGCTCAGCCCCAGCCAGAACCGCGGCCGTCTCTCCGCGCGCGCGCGCTCTCGCCAGCGCGTGCGGACGCGCGCCCGCGTCCCCGCGCCCCCGCGCAGCC